TAATATGTACAGTGAGGGGTTCAGTGTCTTGCCCAGGGACACTTGGGTATGTGACTGCTGGTGGATTCGAACCCCCAACTCTTGTATTGGAGGACGACTGCTCCAACCACTCAGCCACAGCCGCCCGAGTTACATTGTTTTGTTTAGGTGTTCCCTTTATTAATTGTCTTAGCAGTGCATATCCCTGTAAAAATGACCTAAATTAATTTTTAAATGTCAAACTTGAAAATTAAAATGAATTAGCAGAAATGCTTTTTCCTTTTCAATCATCTATTAATCCATTTTAATTTGAAAATTGAGACACATTCTCTTCCATACCTGAGGAAGTAGAGTCTGATTTATCCATTTCTAGTCCATGTTGCGTTTTCTTTCTGTTTTCTCAACAGCCTGGCTGCTCGCGCAGTGTCCCCATTTCTTTTTGTTAAATGTTCATTTATGTTTATTGGTTCCTGTGACTGCATCCGTAGGTTATGTTTGTATTTTCTGCTTATGAATCTTACAATGACAGGTTTTGCCTTCAGTTTTGGTGTGCATGACAGATGGATACGGTGTCTCTTTGAACGTCTCTGTTGTTACTCTGAGGACGTTCACCACTCGTTGCTCCAGAGTCTGCAGTTCTTGCTGTGGAGCATCCTCTGTGCCATCTTCATTTGCAGCAACTCTTGCACAAGATCGGTGTTGAGGTTCAAGACCAGTTAGAACAAGGTCCTCCCTTCTTAAATATTGCTCCATGTCCTCCACTTTTTGCTCCAGCTTGGCTATTTTTTATCTTTTTCAGTCAGCATAGCTTTTAGTGACTTTACTTCCAGCACCAAACCAATCAGTTGTTCTTGTTGAGAAGTTAATTTTGCCAGTTCAGCCAACATAAAATTTAGAGATACAGATCTCTTCCATAGAAATCTTTGTCCTTTGCACTAGTTCCTCCTCTAGGCATTTTTAAACAAGGCGTTACATGTCAGTGTTCTTCTATGTAGACCAATTCTCTGGAGACTTTTGAGTTACCATGGTGACGTAATATGCAAATATATAATTTTTTTCAGCGCTTGACAGAACTCTGAGCACAGTGAGGTCACATGACCTGGAGCAGAGAGGTCCCTGAACAAACTCTTCCTACCATACAGTTACAGGTGCACATAAATATTTTATATCATGCAGGCGTGTTGTCTTCTACATTTTAAAACGGCCGTCACGTGGCCGTCCCTGTCGAGGCTGTTCCAGGAACTTTCTAGTATGTTTTACAGCCCAGTATCCAGATATTTGACGGATTACGTCTTTAGGCAAAGCGGTCATGACATGAGACAGGTCATCCAAAGCTCCATTTTCCAAACAAAGAGCATTCACGGGAGACAGATCTTCAAATACTGACATCTTTATTGGACTAGAACAACAGCTAATCACAATCACTGCAGATGTTTTGACTGAGTGACTGAACCAGTTCAGCTCTGTTTAAATACGTTTTGACCTCTGGATTAAACCAGTTAAATTTTGTTCAACCAGATGACCTGTGTTTGATTCAACCGATGCACCCCAGATTAAATGAGCTTTGCTCTGAGTCAACAGCTGCCGATGAGTGTGGCTCCAGGTGATGCACGCCTCCACCTGCTTCCTGCCGAGGCACGGCTCAGCTCCTGCTGGCCCTCTCCTTGGCGTGGAGCCTGAAGTGGGTGTTGAGGTGCGCCGATTGGTTGAAGCGTTTCCCGCAGACGTGACAGTGGAACGGCTTCTCTCCGGTGTGGATGCGGTGGTGCCTCCTCAGCATGCTGATGGTGGTGAAGCTCTTCCTGCACACCGTGCAGCTGTACGGTTTCTCCTTGGTATGCCAGCGCATGTGCACCTCCAGCTGGCAGGCGAAGCTGAAGCTCTTACCGCACTCCCTGCAGCTGTGCCACCTTTGGATGCTCTGCTTGGGCTGAGAGAGGCGAGGCAGCTTCAGGGATCTTCCATTCCTGACTGGCGGCATGCCCTGTTTGCTGTTGGAGCAAAGGCCCCCCCTCACCTGCTGGACCCCCCTCACATGTGAGCCTGTTTTTAAATGCTCCGGACTCTTTGCAGAGGAGAAAGAAGAATGGCTCGGAGCTGCTCTGCAGTCTGAAGGAACCGACAAGACGCTGGTTGACACGCATTTGTCATTTTCTATCTTTATCTGTACAGACGTGACCGAGGATGGGGGGGCGCCTGGCCCCTGCTGCTGGACACGGCTGCAGGTTCCCTCTGCCGAGTCCTCTGCTTCCTGTGGAGCTTCTGCCTGACTTCCTCTGAGTTTTTCCTCTTCCAGCTGCGACAGCGGCTCCCCTCTGCTCCTCCAGTCACAGACGCCTGCGTCTTCTCGGGACCAGAGGGAGTACGGCTCTGAAAAGAAAAACACGATCATGTTGGGCGCATTTCAAAAGATCAGTTCCATTTTTAGGAGGCTGAAAGTGGCCTGAGATAAGTTTAACAAACTTTGATGATCCCAGTCTGACAGAACACTTATTAGCAGCAGGATGACGACATGTTGACTGAACAGCTGATGATAATTAGATTATCAAACTAGACTCTGCTGGGCCGTCCTTAGTTTCAGCTGGAAACAGGAGGAAGAACTCAGGGTCTCAGAACAGTTTCAGGTTTTGTTGAGCCAGATCCAGAAAGCCCGGCTTCATCCTGCTGCCTTCAGGCTCCGCATCGTAAAACCAGACACTTTGATTTTACTTCGTAGGTTTGGATGCGAGTCATGACTGAAAAACGCTGATTATCACAGAACATATTGATCCGTTTATAAAAAAGCTACTCGTGCAAAAAGCTCGGTCTGGACTGAGTCGCTGCACAGACCTGACGGCAGCAGGTGTTGGACCACCGCGGCGTTCAGGAGCTGTCGGAGCCGCTCGTTCTCCTCTCTGGACCGCAGGACCTCGCTCTGGTACTCCGCCACCGTGTCCTTCACGGCGCGGAAAATCTCCTCCGCCGCCGCCGTCAGCCGGTCGGTCAGGAAAACGTTCAACAGCTCCAGTTTGGTCATG